AAAAACAAAAAACAGCCCCCTCCCCACCCCAAAAAACCCCAGTATGGAAAGTCTAGCCCTAACAGCTCCTTTTTTCTCTTTATTTCTGCATTTGCCAACACGTACAGTATATATGTGTAATATATATTTCTTCTGCATTTAGCAATATGTATGCTCTGCATGTGTATGTGTATATGTGTTTAATTTTTATCATAGTGCAAGCCTTTTTTTTTTATTTTGAGCTTCTCTGCAGACTTAGATCCCTGATTTGCAGGCAATGTAAATTAAATACAGTGTTATTACATCTACCTTTCATTTCACAGGCTTGATCCTTGCTGTGTGGGTGTACATGTACCACGTGTGTTAACCTTTTTTTTTTCCTTCTGTCCGTAATCCTTTCCCAGTAATTCCACAAGGTATCCGTAATGGAATTGTCAATCAAAAGTGAGCCAGAGGAAAATGCTGTCTCAGAGTATAAGATGGCTTGGGCAGACTCTCAATACTGCAATCCTCGGACCCAGTGGCATCTGCAAAGCTGCTGCAGCATCTGGATCCAAAGCCTGCCAATGGATCAGTTGCCATCACTAGTAAAATGCCATCCATAGGCTGATATCTGGATCCTCAAGAAAGTAAAAGAAGAGCAACAAGATGCGAAAGGCAAGTAGCAGTGAGATAGGAGGAATCGTGTTCAGCTTCAAATTAAATCTTTCTGCTTAATTTCATGGTTTTTCATGTGAAATTGTTTCTTTACATAGTAAGCTCTGACCCACTTTTACTACATTCCCCCAAATCCATGATATACTCCTAATATGATTCAAAAACATTTGATCATAGTGCAGTTAAGTAGACACTGTAATGTGCATGTGATTGAAGAAATGTGCAGTATTTGTGAGCTGGTTCTGCTTTTCATGCTAGGGCTTTTCTTAAATTAAGGGTGATGTCGTCAAAAAATAAGAAAAATAAAAAGGCTATGATAAATGTCCTAAAAAAAGCTTTGGATGTATCATTCCTCCAGAAAAGCAGACTACATACTTTAGAAGATTTAAAGGCTTTCCATAGATTTTGTGGACACTAAGCTTCATGAGCATGTGTATTATTATTATTATGTAGTTGTGGAGAACTTGCTGTCATGCAATCACTGTGCAAACAATCTTTGAACAGTAAACACACACTCTTACTTAAATTTATGAATGATCCTATAAGGTGGCCATTTATTTAAAACGTAATTACTGTAAATATGTTTTGTAAGCAGGATTCCTTTCTTCATAGTACGGTTTTATAATTATGCACACACATAATGTATTGGAAATTCACAGGTAATTAGTAATAAAAGACAATCATGGTGTGCTGTACATCATCTCTCTGAATGTTTTGAATCTCATAACTTCTTGTTTCAGTTAGATCAGTCTTTGGGGCTAATCTCTCCCACATGTGCAATGCTACAAGATTGTCTTCACTATGGAGCAAGGAGAAATTGCTTAAGTAAAGGTAGTGACTGTATGAATCATAAACCACTTTCTCAGATAAAGGCCATTAAGTAAGTCTGTGTACGTATTTGACACTTTATTTCACAGCCTTTGACAGCCCTTTAGAAGAGTTTAAGAAACCGAGATCTGACTAAAGCTTTCAAAAATTCATTGCTGAGTATTTGCTAACCTTGGTCTCTGTGATAGCTGTAGAACAAAGATAATACTCTTCAAATGGAGATAAATTACTATCTTTCTAAAGATTATCACCAGTCTTAATCGAGTTTGCTCCTACAGCTGAACGGCCAGTGACCTTGTTACTTACACAACAAACATCTCTACTATTTTATGTTTATACGTAGTATGTTTAATTTAACTAGCCTGCTGAGAACAACTCCATGGATTTGTTATAGTTAAAAATGTTATAGGTAAGTTAGGAAATTCAGCTGGCTGGGTGGCTAAGGAGCATGATGAGTAGTGCATTGTGACTGTAGTAGACTAAGAAAAAAAGAGAAGATCCCAGGAAGATGAGGAGCAGTTATGATTGTCATACTCAAAACTGAAATACTGTCCCATGGAACAGGAAGACGCGTGGACTAAGTACAGGTGTTGATGAAGCCTGCAGTGCATGTGCTGTAGCTTTCAAACTTTAAGCACCCCCATTTCAGTTGGGAGGAAGCAAAATACATATTAGGTGAAGCCTAGAGCCTGCCTACATGGCCCAAGCACAGCGGGGGTGGGCTCTAGCATGCTTCCCAGTGTGCCCAACAGGATCCCTGTGTTGCCAAAGACTCCCAAACAGAACCAAATGGTCAAGCCACCCCTGACTGGCTGCCCACCTGGGCACCCCGTGGCTTGGGACATCACAGCTGTCTACCTGGACACCCCACACAAACACACAAAACCCACACATCCTAGACACTCCCTCTCTCTCTTTCTCTCTCTCTCTCACAAACACACACACACAGAATCCAGGTATCTGGGAGACACGCACACAGAACCCAGGCATCCATGACACACACACATGCAGACACACACACACACACACACACACACACACACACACAC